TTTTTAAATACTATCAGTGTATTAGAGTATTTATAAAAAGTTTTCAATATAATAAAATTTTCCTCTTTGCTAACAAAAAAAATTAATTTATTAATTTATTAAAAAGAACAATATAACTAAGAAAAAAGAAATTTTTATCCAATGATGGGATTCTAAAAATATTTCGAGTAGTGATGCTTTACGAAATGCCTAGGTGAGAAGATTTTTTTTAATAAATTAATTTTTTTTATTTTTTTATTAACAAAGAGGAAATTTTTATTATATTGAAAATTTTTTATAAATACTCTAATACACTGGTAGTATTTAAAAAAACTATTCTCACCTAGAGATTTCGTAAGCGTCACTACTTGGAGTACCTTTGAATCTCATCGTCAGATAAAAATTTCTTTTTCTTACAATTTTTATTAATTTTGTATTATTATTAAGTTTATTTTTTATTTTTAAAGTTTAATATATAAGTAAAAAAAAACTAATAAATGAAAAATCAAGGAATTTATTTTTCAAACATCGAAAATAAGACTGTTTTTATTAAAATCAATGGATAACACATAGTTAATTGTTACCATTTTAAACGAGCATTGTGGGGGTGCTAATCCTTCCCCACACGTAACCGACTCTCGAACCCAGACTGTTGCATAGATCTTAAAATTATCATTTTAATTAATTTTAAGATTTCATTAAAAGGATATGTTTTAATAGGTGGTCAATCGCACCTAGCCAAAAAAATATTAATGGTGACTCTGTTATTTTTTATTTTATTTCCAAATTCATCGGGCGGACACAAAACCATTACGACAAATATATAAAGTTAAAGCAGTAAAATTTTTAAAATTTAATTTCCTAAAGTCAAGATCAATTAATAAAATTGTACAAACATACGACTTCACAAGCATGCATAGGTTTCAATTTAGATGGTTACCTTGAATGCAGAAATTCCTTTGGTTAAATTTAGTGACCTTTCAAATAGTTTCCCAAGTCAAGAAGCTGCCTAAGTGTTCAGCCTTTAATAGTGATCCACACAAACTTTTGTGAAAGAATATTCTCTAAGGTTTGATAAAACTCAAAGCCACACTTAAACTAGTAAGTGTTTTCAAGATCTCTTATAATCTTTCAAGTTTTGCTTAAACTCTCTTAGCTTATTTTTACCTTGAGTGAATCTTATTTATTCTTAGAAGAATAATGTTATAAGAGAGGCAACTTGATGTTCCTTTTATAAATGAAGCATTCGACCACATTAGGTTTAATATATGGAATGCAAATTTTCACAATTAACCTTATGCTAGTCGAATGTACCAAAACAAAGGAAATTATTTCTCTTTTTTTTATTTCCTCTTAGTTTTAGTCATACCAAAATCAAATTAAGTCTAACTTAATTTATCTTAATTTTAATCTTTCACAATTGTCCTATTTTGTGTAACCTATTAGGTTCTTTAGTATGTTGGCAATAAACACAAGCATTATGAGCCTTAATATTCCATTATGGATGAAATAAACTTTTTTTCTTCATCAATAATTTTTCAATTAGCCAATTTTATGTTTATAGATCATGATCAATGCTAGCTTTATTGCCATGACCTTTAAGTTTTAAAGAAAAGTCAATATGACTTGATAACATATTCGTGAATGATCTTAGTGTATAATTACTATCCTTTCATCACATAGTATCTCGATTTAAACATTGAGTATGGTTTAGTATATACTCAATCTTGTTCAATCATGTTAAGTCTTATCCTTGACATGAACTCACAAATAATCTTTAAAACAATTCTAAACTCTTATTTCACTTTAGCAAAAGATTTCTCAAGTTAATTCAATCAAGACTAGTTGAGATACTCTCTTAATTACACAAGGTGATGAATTTCATCTTGTTTACTTTATGCATCCTCTATGCCTCATGTTATACCCACCAATACTTGATTAAAGCATTTTTGGTTTGGCTATAACTGTAAGTAAAATCAATGTAGAACATTCATCATATAAGATTATAAGTAATCTTAAGTCAAAAGATCACTTATACAACTATTACATGAGAATGTAGCTATAGACACTATGTGAATTACCATATAGCATTCTCATATTGAGTTATATTCAGTGAACTTGTTCTTATAACAAGCACCTAAAAGTTAGCTCAAGTTTATCCAAACTTTAACTTATGAGATTGGTTACTTGCTTCATAAGCAAGAGTATAACCATGTGATAATCTCAACAGCTTTTGTCAATGTCCTCTTATTAATAAGGTATCGACTAGAAACTATTTTGGAATATAAAGCTTTTATGCAATAATGATTTTATAATTACAATCCCATTGTAATTCCCTTGTAAAACGTTATATATATTTTGAGAACTTTATCATATAAGTATCAACAGTGAAATATATATATATATATATATATAAACAAGTTCAATGATAAAGAAATAAGACCTTTATAAAATATCAAATATCAAAGTTTTATAAATATGATAATGTCTTAGCCAAAATATGATTTGGCTTAAAGGAAAAATCTCAACAACACTTTCACAGATTTTTGATAAGGTTATAAGTTTCTTCGAGCATTTTTTAAGCATTGTAAATGAGAATGTAATAGGTTGCTTTAAAGAATTGCTTGCAAATATCTTGCAAGCCATTCTGTTAAAAGAAGAACCAAGCAAAGCTATCTCAAGCTATAACCAAGGAAGAAATTCAACAAGGTATCTTTTCACAACATAGTGGTAAAGCACTAGGCCTTGTCGGGTATAATGTGCACTTTTTCAAAACTGTATGCCAGGAAAGAAATTCAGCAAGGTATCTTTTCACACATAGTGATAAAGAACCAGGCCTTGACGGGTATAATGCGTACTTTTTCAAAACTGTATGGAGTATTGTGGGGGATGATGTCATTAATGCTATCCTCTATTTCTTTCAAAAAGATGATTTACTATCTACTTTTAACTCCATTATCATTGTTTTGGTACCAAAAACTCAATCTCCAAGAAGTATTTTAGGCTGTAGGCCCATTTTTTACTATTCAGTCACTTATAAATGCCACACCTCATCACTAAAAATCAAAGCACCTTCATTAAAGGAAGAAGCATAATAGACAACATGTTTATGGCCCAAAAATTGGTAAGGGATTATAGTAGAGTAACACTTTTTCCTCGATGTGCAATAAAAATAGACTTGAAGAAAACATTTGATGCCTTAAATTGGAAATTTTTAATAAATGTTCTATTAACTATATCATTTTTGAAGAGATTTATATGGATTCAGAATTGTCTAACTACTTTAAGGTTTTCTCTATCCATTAATAAGGGGATAGTAAGCTACTTTCGAGGTGAAAGAGGAGTTAGGTAGGGGATCCCAACTACATATTCAGGTTTTCAGCTTAATTACGAGAAAGTGAATTATTCTGTACATGTATTCCAAGAAGGGTATTGCAAGAGATAGTACTGGTGACAAGATTCAAGCTTGGTACACTCCATGTAAGATACATTGGGGTTTCATTAGTTACATGCAGTATCTCCATGAAGGTTGCACACTGCTGATAGAGAAGATAACAACAAGAATATGTAGTTGGGCAACAAAAAATTTATCATATGCAAGTAGACTACAGCTAATACAATTGATCATATTCAATATTCAACACTGCTAGTGCAAACATTTATGCTGCCATAAAAGGTGATCCAGAAGGTAATTCAGTTATGTTCAATATACTTTTAGAAATAACAGCATGAATCAATTAAAGGGGTAAAGGTTAAAAGGCAAACCCTATGTAGGTTTAAATTGGAAAGAGGACTCCAACTAAATGATTTGTTCATTTGGAATGAGGCTTCTATGATTTGGCAAATATGGTTTATTTTCTCACAAGTAGGTTCATTATGGATTGCATGGGTGCACAGTTATATGCTTAAAGGGCACAGCATATGGGAGGTGCCATTACATAAAGTAGTAGTTGGACCATGAAAAAACTATTACAAATGAAGAGACTTGCCTCTTGATTTTTGTTGCAAACAAAGGAAGGCATGGGATGGAATGTGGGAAGAATTGGGAACTTGATTGCAGATATATGGGAAGAATTAAGACTAAAACAAACGAAGATGGCGTGACATAGGCAAATATCTATCATATTGAGACTGGCAGGGGGTGCATATATATGGAAAGAATTGGGAACTCAATTGCAGATATATGGGAAGAATTGAGACTAAAACAAATGAAGGTGGCATGGCATAGGCAAATATCTATCATATTGAGACTGGCATTGGGTGCATACATTTATTTGATTTAGAGTGAAAGGAATAAGAGGCGGTTTACTATTGCAAAAAGTAAATTCTTAAGATGATACAGCTAAGGTTGATGGGATTGAAGAATATTGTTTTTGATAATGTAAATAAAGATTTACGCAAGAAATGAAAATTAAAAGGGATACATTTGTATAGAAGCAAGAATGGCTGATGGAATTATAAAAGTTGTACATTTGGTAGTAGTGAATTACTTCTTTTTGGGTAATAAAATTACGAATTATCCATAAAAAAAAATCGAACCTAAGCGAAAACCAAGTCAAATTCTAGTGTTTTATGTAAGCTTACCATCGTATCTCCTTCAGTAAATGAATTTGTTGAGTTTCAGATGATAGAAACAAGCATTTCATTATCAAGTTTCTTTGATATAATTTCATTGCTTAAAAACTTCTTGTCCTCATTTTTTTGTTCTTTTGTAGCTGACATCAATTTGAATTGTGTTGTTCTAGTGGCAGACATTAGTAAAAAAACCTCTAACATGTTTCCGTTTGACCAAAAAAATGTTTTGTTTGTTTTTAAATCTAGAAAATATTGATTATGATTACACTAAAAATAATTGCATAAAATAAAAGTTGAATGGATTAGAAGTTGCCTAATGAAATTAAACTAAAACTTGGACCGCTGTACATGTCCCATGGCCAATATATCCCCATTCATGTTCATTTTCATGATATGATGGTGTTAATTTCAAAGAAAATTTCAATAATTAAAGGTGGTTTGACTCTTGAACTCTAGGTTATCCCAGAAACTTCCCTTAATAAGTGAATTTTTTACCAAACAAAATCTCTCCTACATTCTACAATTTTATCTCTCTATCCATCTCCGGAAGTTTCAAGAACTCCCTGTCCTGTTCTATACAAAGCCTGCTATATATATATAATCTATAGCATTAACGAGAACAGCAGCCAACGACTTCAGCACAATACAACATACGACAATGTCTCTGCTTGAATCTCTGTTCCACCAAACCAGCAATTTTTATCCCTTTGGGGGTTTCTTCATCGACACCCCGATGGACTGGAAGGAAACTCCTGAAGCCCACGTTTTTGAAATCGATCTTCCAGGCCTTACAAAGGAGGATGTGAAGCTCCAAATTCATCAAGAAAGAGTTGTTCAAATCTGTGCGGAAAGAAAAGAAGATCCTGACGTTGATTATGAGAAATGGCATTGCAGGGAAAGGAGCGGAAGCAACTTCTCTAGGCAATTCCTTTTGCCCCAAAATGCTAAGGTTGATGAGATCAAGGCATCAATGCGTGACGGTGTGTTGGCTGTGACAGTACCTAAAAATGATAAGAAGAAGAAGAAGAAGAAGAAGAAGAAGAAGAAGAATAAGAAAGGTGTTGATATTGAGATGTCAAGAGAGGAAACTCAACCTTCTAAAGGACTTGGCCGTTTCATCTGCTGCAAAGCTTGAATAATTGAAGGAAATGGTTCCATTCCGTTCTTCTCTTGTAAATTATGTGATTGCCGTTACGCTACATTACATGACTTTTTCTTTTCTTTTTTTCTTTTTTGTTTGTGAGTGCAAAAATACTATCATTTAATAAAGAGCGTTTGTTTAAAATATTTATTTTTAATAAAGAGTGTAAATATGCAGGTCTCTTTATTTATTTATTTATTTATTTTAACTTTTGGATTACCGAAATATCCTCGTTGACTGTCTATTTGCATAGAACATATTTATTAAATGGTGTCGTTTTGGCATCGGCATACGTAGGCAAAATCTATAGGTTTAGATTTACCTGCTCCATTTTAATCAAAATTTTTAGGATCGATCGACATTCACCAAATTTTCAAATGGATTTATTTCCTGATATACTTTATAAGAGGTACTTTATCATTCGTCTTCATTGAGCAAGTATTCAAGTTGTCTATAAATTTACACACACACTTGAAGGTTTTTTTAGTGCATTTGGACAAAAACTTATTTATAGAGATATTTAAAATTTTAGAATTAAACCATCTTATTCGACAAAATAAAAATTATAATTACAAAAAATTTTATAATTTGAGTAAAAATTTTAGACGATCAAATTTTATTTTTTAAGCTTTATTCTTTTGCGATGAAATTTGTGAAATTTATTATTTTTAATAAAATATTAATATTTTTTACACTTCCTTTTTCAATGCAATTTTTATTTTCTTCAATTCTAACTACAAAATTTATTTTTATCATTTCATATTATTAATAATGTTATATATTTTTATAAATTTAATGATACCTATATTACATTTTTTATATTTTCTTTTTATCTTTAATATAATTAATCTTTTATTATAACTAATTTTTATTTCATCAAATATCTCTATCCAAATTAATGCTTATCCAAGCAATATATACAACTACTCTTATTTTAAATTGACGCATTTTAAAATGATTTCATTTTAAAACTTTTTATCCAAATGCATTAGGTTTTTTTGTCGATATCCAAAGATGAGACAAGAGAGAGTTTCAAATAGATAACTTTTACTAGAATAATTGACATCAAATCTTAAATGATCCAAATTAATTAAAAAAAGTTAAAAACTTAAACTTGAAAAAATTTTATCCCCAAAAAGCAAAGCTCCACACTAAAACAACCCAAACTCTTTATGACCTGAACTTGAGATCAATCTGATTTGAAACTTGTAAAAAAATGAATTATAACCTAAAAAACTTGAACTATAATTATGACTATTTTTTTTAAAAAAAATAAAAATCAATAATATCCATTTTTCTTAATTAAAAATTTTAAAATGTTATTATTTATAATTATTAAATAATTGTATCAATAATTTATCATTAACAAAATTAATATTGAATCTTTAAAAATGATTACAAACTAAAATGAATATCAAATGATTTTAATACTAGCCTTATTTTATTTAAAATAATTATCAATAAATATAATCTCATTACTTTAAAATTTGATTTCATTATAAAAATAATAATTTACAACATATTAATGATCTATCATATTTATTCCACATTTAAATTTTAATCTTAATATAACAATAATTTAAATATAAAATAATTATATTATAATTTTAACATTTGATTGAATTTGATGTTTCGAGGAAACAATTAATACCATTGTTAACAAAATTAACTTTAGATAATATTTTTCTTGGTGTTTCAAACCTATGAAATTATTATATTTACTTGAAAATAAAATATCATTATATAAATTAAAATATATTATTTTTAAAAATTGAAATATGAAGATTTCATAAATGAGCCCATTTTCGAGTTGAGAGTTAAGATATGGTATTAGTTTTTGTAATTTTTATTTAGGGGAAATTGTGAATTTTTGAATTTTTGTTTAGAGAGTATTTTGAAATTAGAAATGCCGTAACTTTTTTTTTTTTCACATTTTTTCACTTCATTTTAATATTAGTTAAAAGAAATTTAATTTAATTTAATATTTAATTGATTTATCAATATATATTATAAATAAAATTAAGGTGAAGATAGAATTAATTATTATCAAGAATAAATTAAAGTGTAATATAGAAGTATACATTACTAGTAATAATTTTAATACAATTAATTTTTATACTTAATTGATGTTAAGATTAATTATACTTAAAGTAATTACAATCGTTCAGTTAGAGTTATTAACATTATATTAATTAATTTAATAATATATACTATTTAACATTCTAATTGAATATTTGATCAATTGGTGTATATACAATGTTATTATATTTATGTTAATGTTAAATTGATCAAATTAATTCTTTTTTAATAATGTTTACTATTTAATTTTGCAAAACTTGGTCAATTATTATTATTATTATTATTATATATGAATATATCCAATGTTATTATGTTCAATTTGTGCATGACTTTTTTCTTATTCAACATTTAATAGAACATTTGATCAATTATTATACTCCCTCTCTCCTAAATTGTTTGTCTTGTATTAAATTTCATAGAGTTTAAAACAAAAATCTTTGACTTTAATATATTTAATATTAAAATTAATTTTCTTTATAAAATTAAAGTTCCATAATTTTTAATGTTAAAAAATAAAAAAAAATCATAAACTATAATTTTCAAATATAAAAAAATAAGAATTTTAAATGTTCAAAAAAGAAATATGACATAATTTTATGAGATCTCAAAAAGAAAAAATGAACAAAAAAAAAAAAAAGAAACAAAGGGAATTATATGATAATACTTAAAGGTTGCAATATTAGTATAATAATTCATAAACAAACTAAAACAAAATAATTATGTTGTTGAACTAATTAATTTTTTTTGTAAATGATAATTGATACTTTTTTAATAATGTCTACTATTTAATATTATAATTGAACAATTAGTAATTGATGACTATTCTTAATGTAATATTAATTTTAAAATGGTCAAATATTAAAATTAGATCAATACCATATTAAATCATTTTTACATATAAGGTTTTTCAAAAGTTTTAAGTATTAAATATTAAAACTAAACCAATTAACTGACAATTTTTTTAATATATACTATTTAATATTCTAATTACAAATTTACTCAAAAAGTTTATAATCATTAAATTTAATGCAATTATGTTGACATTTCATTTATTTCCAATCCAAAAAACAAAATAAATGTAAGAAAATTTTTTTAAAATTTAAATTAATGACCAAACAAATAATCATAACATATTGACAAAAAAAGCTAATAAACTAAAATAAAAATGAAATTTTGTTGGATTAAATGACTAACGTTTAAAGATGTTAATGGATAAAGTATGTGTAGCGTTGAGTATTACCTATCTCCATCATCAAATATTTATATTATATCCATCCCTACTCTCATACGAATATTTTAAATTTATCACCATCTTCATCTTCACAGATATTTAATAAATATGAGTAATCTTTGTACCTTTAACTTTTTTAAAAAATAAAAATTAAATCTCTTTAACTTTTTTATTTTTCTCTTGTATATTTAAATAATTTTTTATAAATATATATTAATATATATTTTTCAATAAAAATATATTAATTCTAACTAATCTAAAATAACAATTTATATTATTTAATAAAAAATCTATTTATTAAATATATATAAATATATATAAGGTACGAGTACGAACCAAGTACTATATTATTTATCTCTATCCTCATACTTAATAAAAATTTAAAATTATATCCATCCTCATCCCCACAATATAATACCCATTTACATCCCCATTCAAATAAAAGATTAAATTCTCCATTAAATATAAATAAGATTCACATTCCTACTAACGTTAAGTGCCTAATGGTGTAATAAATTATTGAGTTAAGAGGATAAAAAAAACCATTTATATAAATATTTAATGGACTTTATTTCCTTAAAATAATTTTTTATGTAGTTTAATGGTTTTAAACTTTTATTTTATTTATTAAACTTATATATTCATTTAACTATTTGAACTTGTAAGATGGACTACAAAGTAATGCATAATAATTTTTTGAACAAAATAATGGCTAATATTAAAATATAAAAATATTATACAATGAATATTTATATAAATATTTATTAATTTTTTTTTATTTTTTCCATATTGTTATTTAATTATATAAAAAGTGAAATTAATTATTATATTCGAAATTATAAAAATAACTTTAAAACATATAAATTTTCAAAATTATACGACCTAATCCAGGTTCATTCAACTCGAACTGAATCAAATCTAAAATAATCCAAACACAAAATAATCAGTATCCAAAATTGTTTGAATATGACAAAAACTGAATCCAAATTATCCGAATCTAAAAATATTTGAATCTAAAATGAGCCAAATCTAAAAAAAATCATAATTTGAATAATCCTAATCCAAAAATATTCAAATCTGAATCAATCTAAATCCACCTGTATACCACTTCTAAATATATGTATCTATTAATATTGCATAAATTATAATCCTATAAGTAATTTGTTTCTAACAACTCGTGCAATCTTATTAGGAATAAAATTTAAACTTAGTAAGTCATATTAAGAGTTGGACAAAACTTGTAATTATTAACATAATAACAAATAACAGGAAAATAACAAATAACAACAAAAACAAACAAACAACAGGATTATTAGACTAATTATTAATGACTAATTATTAATCTCATATTTTAGACATGTATCACATTTTTTTCCCTCAATTCAATTAACACTAGCAATTAAGCTATTCTATGTACATTTGGTGCGAAAGTGAGTATGAGTACGATCAATAGCTGCCCAAGTGTTGAAGGCATCATCTAATACTATCTCAACATGTATATACATACGTATGTATGTATACATACATACATATATACATACATATGTTCGTACATATGTATACATTAGTATGTAAATATATAGTTCCTAGTGACAAAATGGAACATGTTTAAAATGGTTAAAATAAAATGGGTTATTGAAGTCATCCTAAATAAATTTAAGCAATACAAAATGGAAATGGATTAATCTTTCATCTTAGCATCCATTATTGATAAGCTTCCATTAACATGGAAAGACTTCAAGATAACTATGAAACATAAAAAAAAAGATATATCTCTTGAAGAGCTTGCAAGTCTTATCCTAATAAAAAAACAATACTATAAGAAAATGATCAAAAAAAGTACGCCAATATCTCAAAGGT